ATGCAAGGGTGAGACTGGGAGCAGAGTAGGACCTATGCCTGAGGATGTTTTATGATCTTATTCTTTTGTACTTTCCAGTGTCAAGAGTGACAGAGGCAGATTCCTGGAATGATTGCACAGGTGGTGTTAAATAGCCATTAGCAGACTACAGGCATGGCTTAAAAGTGATTACTTGTTCAAAGGAGTGGTTTCAAAATAAATAACTGTCAAGGAAGTATTACACCTTGTGTGGAAAAGAGGAATGTGATGGAAAAAATGCAGCCTTAGTACGTATCTCATTATAGTATGTATAAGGAGAGTTAGCAATACTGTCACAGCATACTTTTGCAGCTACAAGGGTTCTTAATTTTGCCACCTTAGTTCTCTTTCCCTGATTACTTACCAACAATAAGCATAAAATGTTTAGCTATACTTTTAAAACTTTCTGTTAAACAGATCAAGGAACTCTCCTGTTTCTGTGCTAAAGGACTGCAGAAAAAGTCTTGTTGTTGCTTGGCACTGAAACCCAAGCAGATGCTAAAGCTTATAACGACATCACAGTGGAAAAAAGCCTTATGAAAATGCCTGACTCCCTAACACCCCAGAGTCTCTCCTTTGGCAGCTCTTATTCCCACACCCACTGTATCAAACAGGTGGAATCATGCTGAAGTTTTGTATTGATGGGGCTGAAGAAACCTTTCTCCTGACAATGAAGGCTTCCTAAACAAAGGATTAGGAACAAGAGGAAAGGAAATTAACTCTTGTGCTGCCACTCATCATTTTTGCCAGTGGAAAACAAGAGTTGGCTTATGTAGCTAAGCTTCTTGTTGCGTGTAATTTTCTTAAATCTGATTAGGATCATTTAGGCTTTTCTAATTACAGCAATCTCAGAAAGTTGTGCCCACAACCTATTTACCTAGGAGCTTTTCTTTTTTTCCCCACAAACAGTGAAAAATCAAGTTCTTGTATGGCTAAAAAAAAAAAAAAAGCAGAGACAAATTCCACTTCAATAAGAAATGTCAGTATAAGGTTGTGTTGCAGAATTGTGTAGGCACCATGCTGCCAATTTTCAGACAAGACCCCTGAGGTGTACCCTCAGAGAAAACAGGCCACTCATTAATCTCAAATCTCAATCTCAGTGAATGGGACTGCTAATGACAGTGATGCCACCAGAGCTAACCCAGGGCCTTTTCAATCCTAGGATGCCTTAGGCTTTGCTCAAACTTTGCAGATTTAGGCTTTATGTGTTTTTGTCACTGGACATTATGATTCTTGTGGCATTACTTTGGTTTTATAATGCATTCCTGAATCAGCAGTTTCCAAATACAGGTGCATTTCACCTACACTCTCCAGTTTTAGAGATCACCCTCTTCTGTTTTCAGGAGTTGGGTATGATGAAAACAGGAAGCTTCCAAAAATCTTTTCCTTCTTCAGGCATACAAGTGTTAAAGATACATTTGCAGCTTGGGATGTGAAGTAGGTACGTAACTCTGGTAGAGATTCACTGAGAAACAGTGAAATCCCATGTAAGGAGAAAGGATATATTGTACATCTTTGTTCATAAATCTGTTTTTAATCAAAGGATAGCTTACCCTTTCAGAAAAAAGGATTGATCCTGTGTCATTTTTTTCTGGCACCTGGGCCAGGGAGGAGATGGAACTGAATAAGAAATTTAACATTTAAGCATATGAAATATTATCTTTTACAAAACTGTAATCTGTTATCTTATGGATCAGAAGTAGATAGGGGACAATTCAGCACTCTTCTTTCTCAGTCAGAATTGAACTTGTATCCCAGCATGGTATTATTTCCAGGAAATATCATGGTACAGCAGGGAGCATTTTTCAAGTGACAATTTACAACTAGGCTATTCATTGCAGTTAAGATACTATTAAAATATAACCACAAAGTGCTGCCGGTAAAGTTCATGCTTGATAAAAACTACAAATAATTATATCTATTAAATATTAAAGGTAAATTTATTTATTTATATTTTTTACAAACAAAAGGATAATAGAAAACACCTGGAATCTTAATAGCTATTCTTTACACAATGCAAGGTCCATCAGAGCAATGGAATCTCTGCCAAACTTTGCTGAACTGAGGTGACTGACCAAGGTCCATCAGCTGTCTGAGGTGACTGACTAATAACAGTGATAATGATAAATTAGGTGATGCAGGTGATTCAGTCTTCCTAGTCACCAAGTCACATTGGAGCAGCTAGGCACAGTCAACTCTGCTTTCTATGGTCAGTCATATGGATGGGGCAAGATCTCAATAAATTTAAGGACCAGGATGGGTTTGTTCTGTGTTGCTCTTTAAGATACCCTGATGTGAAAGATGCAGTAGGATAGAACGCAAGCATTGTAAGAGCTCCACTTGTTTAACCTGAGAGCCTGAAGAGAGCGGGAGAGTGACAGAGCTCAGGTGTTTCTGCAAGTCACAACTGGGACCAGTCAGAAGAGGCAGATCTGGGCACCTCAGGACCAGTCATATTACCTCTTCTATTTACCAGGTAGACGTGGTTTTGCAGACAGGGTAAAAGAGTTTTTCTAGTTCTGAATGACAGATATTTGCTGAGAAAAGTATAGATATGGTGTCGTTTACTAGAAGAAATCCTTTTCTCTTTCTATTGCCACAGTAAGCCTGTTGGCAACCCCTCTGTCATATCACAGGAGTCCACATGCAGACACACTTCTGAGTGCACAAGGAAATGCTGGAATCCCCACAACTGCTTTTTCCATGTGTGGCAAACTAGTAACCAACCATACCATCTTAACACTGCATGTTGCATGGTGGCATAGAAAGAGGTTTCTCACCTGAAAGTTCAGCTTATACTTGTTGCTGTTTAGAAGTCTGTAGCCCAGATTTCTGAGAGGTTTTACATGAGAAGTGTCTTCCTGAAGTACTGTCTGGAACTGGCTGCCTCTGTGTGGCCGAAGGGCTTGTGGCATAACTTAGGTAATAAATGCTTCTTTCTTCTCTGTTTTTACCATTCACATACAAAAATTTCAGGAAAGCCTGTATCAGGTATCTCTCAGGTTTTTATTAATATGGGTTTTAGCCTAACTTGCTGAGTATTTCTTTTGACATTCAGTTTTGAAGATTTATTTAGGGGTCCTTCAGTCCCCCCATTACTCTCATTGCAATCTCTTGGTTCCTGAATATAATTTGCTTAAAAGATTAAGCTATAGCACTTATTCTGTAATGACTCATTTTACTTTTCATGCTGCTTCCTGAAATTCAGAGGTCAGTAAGGACAAGGAAGCTGTAAATACAACACCGCTTTGAGAGTGAGTCAGATATTCCCTTTTTTTAAAATAATCTAATGATAACAATATGTTCCTTCCTTACCACAAGGCAGAATATTCCAATTCTGCAATGAACTCTCTGGTGGCTATCTGACCCAGAGGGTGAGTTCCTTGGTAAGGCACAAGATTCAGATGTTTGCAGGAGGGCATGACAATGTATCTTCAAGGAGAAGAGATATCTCAAGATAAGATATCGTCCTTTCACCCAGATAAGTAAGAGAATCAGAGCATGCCTTTGATGTTGTCAGCTTTGGCTTCATCCCTTTAACCACTTCTGAAAGTGATCCAGCTTCCTCTGGATTGCGTTGGATGTAGGTTTTGGACCTAACATTTGGACATCAAACTTGTTATTTAATTTGGAAGATATTAGACACCACTCTTTATGCAGCACTGGAGGCAAATAGAGTCCAAGAAAACTTTTCCGTATAGTTCTCAGTAACAAGGAATCCACAGAGGGAGGTCTGAGCACGTTCCAGGACTTGTGTACAAAATTTGAACTACTTTTCTGTAGTATCTCTCAAAGATTCACCTTTTCTCAGAAATACCTATCTACAGTTAGGCGTACTGACTACTATTCACTCTGGTTTTGTGTGTTCACAAACTCTCTCATCTTAGAACTATTTTGAATCCTAGACTTTTCCCTAGAAGAGTGAGAGATTGCTAAAAACATATATAAGATGTCCTACATTCTGTTTGAAAGCTCTGGACTTGCTGGAAGCAAATCTTAGAAAGGATTTCTACAGCTTTTGGGCCCTTGTTGCAAAGTGAAGTTTGGATCATGCAGGGACAGCTAAGATCATAACCAGCTGAAATATATTTTTCATGGAATTTCAGTAAAATTGATAGGAATTCATAAGACACAAGAGCTGTAAACAAGATCAAAAGAGTATCTGACAAACTGAATCTTTCTCAGTGTTTGGACATTTCTAGCTCTTTCCTCATAAAGTATGTCAAAGTTATCTATTTGCTCAAGTAAAATCCCGATTTGAGAAGCAGTTACAATTTGTTTATGTGAGGCTGGGTTAACTGTTGAATTTCCAGTGATTTCAGTAGCATTCTATCAATGTGCTCCAGCTGAAATATCAACACAGACTTTGGAAAGTTCACTGATAAAACTACATATTAAACAGAAATAAGTCCAAGCCACAAGGTTTGATCTCTTCTATTGTTGCAACCTACTTAAAATATAAAATGTGTTTGGACCTTTAAATTTGGCTAATGCCATGATGCAGCTATGGTCCAGCAGCAAACCTCAGATTTCTACTTCTTCAGCATTCACAAGTTTTAGCTCTAGGATTTGACTCCATTGTTCGATTTCAGTGTTTCAGTGTGCTCAGGTTGCACGGTGTGCAGCAGTCATATAAAACAATCTGTGAAAAGCCTCAGCCATTTAAGTGCAACTTCAATGTATTTAAAAGCAGCTTGGGACTGATTTTTCTCTCCCTCATCCTGTTTTTACACTGATACAGTTCTCTATTTCTGTGTAGTTCTTTTGGGGTTACATTAGTGTGAGAGGAGAGTAAGGCTAATTTGCTTAGCTACATACCTTCCCAAAGGACACTTTAAAGTTTTAGCATGTATTCTTCTTCATCTTTTTTCCTTTTAATCCTTCTCAAAGCTCAAAACATCTGAGAGGATGAACAGAGAAAGTTTGTGTAATGGGTGATCTTTCTTTAGATAACTTATCACCAAGACAGTGGGAGTTTTTTATTCCTTCTACCCTGTCAGTAAGAACTGGCTCCAAGATACAAGAGATTAGCTGAGCTTTAATGACAAAGAAACACAAACCCAAAAGAATTAAAAGAAAACAAGAGCCTTTACACTGATCACATTGATGTTAATTTTCTCATTTCTTCATTTTTGTTACAAACACACCTTTTAACACATATTAAAAGCCTGTTAAGTGGATCCAACCTGTTGTACAGTTAATCATCTTTCAATATGTGATACCTTATCATTATCTTTTTAAAAATTAAAAACCTACCTCATTTCTTGATAGCTAAAATAAGATGTCAGAGACAAGTTGTTGCTGTTTTCTCCCTCCACTTCTTCAAGGATGAACCATGAGGTAACAAAGGAGGACTGCAACTAGTCCTCTGTAGTCATCTAAGGTTTTTTGTAAAAATACCTTGAGTTAAAATTTCCAATTACTGCTCAGTTAATCAGACCACTGCTTTTGTACTCACAGAGTAGTGAGGTAGTGTTTCTGAGTACTCAGGTAGTGTTTCTGACCACCGCATAATTTAAATTTCTGGAAGACAGTAATTCTCACACCAAATAATGTATCTGGAAACAGAGCAGCTCAGAGCAGCTGCCGGGCTACCTCATTAAAACAGCCATTTGAGAGAAAGCAGCCAGCCGGATCCTAACACTCTCCCTGGCAGGCAGTGGCAGCTCTGCAGAACCATAGGACTTCAGCTCAAAAACCTTCCAGAAACATTCACTCATATTAAGAAGCAGAAGTCACCTTAGACGGCAATGAGTGTCTTGTTCTTTGATGGACTCAGATAAGCTGCTGAGCTGTCCTGGCGGAATGCTGATGATGCCACCAATTTATCTGTAGAAATCAGGAAATGCTTGTGGACTCAGATACTTGAGCTGGTAAACAAAACTGACTCCCTAAATTTAAATACCATTGTCCAACTAGGAAATGGAGACATATTGTATGATATGATTATGTGTGACACATGATCTCTTAAAAAAAATAAAACAACCGAACAAAAAAAAACCAAACCAAACAAAAAATGCTGATAAACACAGCTCAGATGTTCAACATTGAAGAATCCCCAGCAGTAGACTGGGATCACAAGGAGGCAAAGAATTATCCACACGAGTTACTGGGCAAGTAGTATGAACTAATAAATAAAGACTCAGAATGCCTATGAATGTTTTAAATGTTTATTAGCTTGCTCAGTATTTGTTGGCTTACACCATTCCTCCTGACAAAAAATTCTTTCCTAATCATCATCTAGCTCAGAAAGGGTGTAAAGGCCATATGCCCTATATAGAACATACAGTTGAGTATAGCCCTGAAACAACCTTCCTAGACTGAATACTAGATTTCCCAGTCTCCTCATGGAGGCAGGTTTTCCTTAGCACATATAGCACCCAGATTTTTTTGGAGGATTTGCACAGCACCAAGACCAAGTCATGATGTAAACTTCCAGTTGTTTTTAATGTAATTGACTCCTTTTCATGTCTGGCAAGACCCAACTTTGCCTGCATAAGCCATTTTAGGGGTGACTAGTGGGGAGAGTTAACTGCCAAAGTTTCTTTGAGATGGGCAGCCTGAGCAACGTGCAGTAAAAAGGCTGGGTGCCTGGCTCATCTCACAGAATCACGGAATCATCAAGGTTGGAAAAGACCTTGAAGGTCACCTAGTCCAATCATTACCCTAACATTAACAGTTCCCAACTACACCATATCCCCCAGAGCTATGTCAACCCGACTCTTAAACACCTCCAGGGATGGGGACTGCACCACTGCCCTGGGCAGCCCATTCCAATGCCCAACAGCGCCTTCTGTAATGAAATGCTTCCTAATATCTAGTCTGAACTTTCCCTGGTGCAACTTGAAGCCATTCCCTCTTGTCTTATCACTTGTTACTTGGTTAAGGAGACTCATCCCCAGCTCTCTGCAACCTCCTTTCAGGCAGCTGTAGAGGGCGATGAGGTATCCCCTCAGCCTCCTCTTCTCCAGACTAAACACCCCCAGTTCCCTCAGCCGCTCCCCGTACGACCTGTGCTCCAGACCCTGCACCAGCCGTTGACCTTCTCTGGACACGCTCGAGTCATTCAATGTCCTTTTTGGAGTGAGGGGCCCAAAACTGAACACAGGAATCGAGGGGCGGCCTCACCAGTGCCGAGTACAGGGGTCAGATCCCTTCCCTGTCCCTGCTGGCCACGCTATTGCTGACACAAGCCAGGATGCCATTGGCCTTCTTGGCCACCTGGGCACACTGCTGGCTCCTGCTCCTGTTCAGCTGGCTGTCAATCAACACCCCCAGGTCCCTCTCTGACTGGCAGCTCTCCAGCCACTCCTCCCCAAGCCTGTAGCGCTGCTGGGGGTTGTTGTGGCCCAAGGGCAGCCCCCGGCATTTGGCCTTATGGAAACTCCTCCAGTTGGGCTCAGCCCATGGCTCCAGCCTGTCCAGGTCTCTCTGCAGAGCCTCCCTACCCTCGAGCACATCAACACTCCCACCCAACTTGGGGTCATCTGCAAACTGACTGAGGGTGCACTCGATCCCCTCCTCTAGATCATCAATAAAGATGTTAAACAGGAGTGGCCCCAAAACCAAGCCCTGGGGGACACCACTTGTGACCGGCTGCCAACTGGATTTAACTCCGTTCACCACAACTCTTTGGGCCCAGCCATCCAGACAGTTTTTTACCCAGCAAAGCGTGTGCCCATCCAAGCTGCTGCCAGGAGAATACTATGGGAAATCATGTCAAAGACCTTATTAAAGTCAAGGTAGACAACTTCCACAGCCTTTCCCTCATCCAATAACCAGGTCGCCCTGTCATAGAAGGAGATGTTTGTCAGGCAGAACCTGTCTTTCATAAACCCATGCTGACTGGGCTTGAGCATCTGGCTGTCACACGTGTGTTGTGTGATGGTACTCAGGATGAGCTGCTCCATCAGCTTCCCGGGCATTGAATTCAAGCTGACAGGCCTGTAATTTCCCGGATCATCCTTCCAACCCTTCTTATAGATGGGTGTTGCATTGGCCAATTTCCAATGAGTTGGGACCTCCCCGGTCAGCCAGGACTGCTGGTAAATGATGGAAAGCAGCTTGGCGAGCACCCAGCCAGTTCCTTCAGCACCCTCGGGTGTATCCCATCCGGTCCCACAGACTTGTGTGTGTCTGTGTGATGCAGGAGGTCACTGACTGTCTCCTCCTGGATTGCAGGGGAGTCGTTCTCCCAGAGTCTGTCATCTGGCTGAGGAGATGGATTCCCTCAGTACAACTAGTCTTGTTATTAAAGACTCACACAAAGAAGGCATTACGCACGTCAGCCTTTTCCTCATCACTTGTTGCCATGTTTCCTCCTGCGTGTAGCAGGGAATGGAGACTCTCCCTGGTCTTTCTTTTGCTGTTGACGTACTTACAGAAACATTTCTTGTTGTCCTTGATTGCCGAAGCCATATTAATTTCTAGCTCTCTCTCTTCTAGATCTCTCATCAGTCCATACCTGTGCTACTGCACTGATGGTCCTATAGGGTCCTGGTCTCCCAGCAAGCCATCTCAAGTGGTGGGAAGGTTACTCATGGAGATGCAAGGGCCTGAGCATGGTCATTAGTGAAACCCCAAGGCCATAAGCCTAGCCAGGCTAAACAGCCACCCCAGGAGCTATGGAAACCAGTCCTGTGGATTGGCCAGGTCCATGAGCCCTTGAAAGTGCAGTTCATGTCTTGGTATTACCAACAGCACATTCTCACTGAGGCCCTGCTATGGCATTTGGAGTACAGGGAGCTCCTACACAAGCATGGCCAAGAGTCTAGCTTGTAACTAAGACCACCATACCTGGCAAGGAATGTTGTGAGCAAACCTCTGAACCCAGGAAATAACTACTCTGGAGCTGAAAGGCAAAATTTTCTTTACAGATGTTGCAGCAGAGAGGACCCAAAACTTACTGTTTTTCTGGGTCTTTTGCATTAGGCAAGAAAGGCCAGAAAGAAAATTATGTAAAATTATCTTCTGGACCATCTTGCTGCATATCCAAAACCATAAGTTTTGCTGTTAAAGCCAAATATTGCTTCCGTGTAATGGTGTGAGAGCATTGGCAGCAACTAGCAGGCAGGGGACCAGCCTGGGAGCCCAGTGTCTTGCAGGGACAGCCTGGCATTGCCACTTTCAGGAGCAGACCAGCAGGAAAACACCAAGGGACCCTGGAAGAACACAACATTTCACTGCACAAACTCATTTAAGCTTTTTATTTTTTTCTCTTGATAATGGGTGTTACAGCCTTCAAGGCAGTTTGGAGGTTAATCATTAGTACAAGAAAGTACTATAATTGGATGCAAGGGTCCAAACACTCAAGGGATAAAAAACACTGTTCATTCCAGGAACTTTTTAGCAACTGTTGACTTGTAGAAAGTAAACAGATTTCAAAAAGTGTCAGCCTGCCATACCACTGCGTGCCATTCCAAGATGAACATTGTTTCTAAATATATTTCCTGTGAGTGGAGGAGGAAAACAAATCTAATTTTAAAGAAATAAAACCAAACCAGATGTGCACAAGAGTATGTTTTAGGCTTTTTTTTTTTTTAAAAAAAAAAGTTTTTTCTTTAGCGGTACCAAGTCAATAAATGTAATCTAAGAGATTTCATGGCATTTGTTAACACCACTTAATGCCCCTGCTACCCTTTGTATCTGCACCCATTTGCCAGTTTCTCAGAACACTAACTGAGTGTGGGAATGCCGCAAATACTTAAAACTGATGAAGTCTTTTTAGATTTATCACGACCACTTGTGCTTTCATGATTGTGTAAGGTGTGATGTTTAGCTGATGGTACATGTAACTCATGAAATATATGCTAAATCATCTTCATGTTGAAGGATGTCTGTCTGCTCAGTTCACTGCTAGTAAACACTTCTGACATGTTTTTACCTGCAATTAAAACTCCCGATTGACACATCTCCTGTTTCTTAATGGTCACTGCCATTATATATACTACTCTATCATATCCAGTATTGGAATATGAGTGATTCTAAGTCAGA